GAATGACTGAAGCTCCTGTCTAATGTCTTAATATCCACAGTATGACTTTTAATAATCAGTGATATTAACAATTTTGAGCAACTGTGACAATTTTTAAAACATCTCTGTTGTGATTCAAAAGAGATTACTTTGTTGCTTTTTACATGGGACAAATCAACAGGACTCATTGTAATGTTCCCTTAATTTTGTAGAGATTCATTTGTGTACTCCAAAAAAAGTCAGTGTTGAGTTTTAGGGCATGAGGAGGAGATGCTGCCCTGCACTAAGAAGGTGTATGAATGGTCTTAGTTCTTGGCAAACGGAGGTAATCAGACTGCAGTGCGGGGGCCTGAGATGTGGTAACTACTTTCATAGAAGTTCATGCCCAAGTTTACTAAGTGGTGGTTTTCTTGTGCAAGGATCTGGTTTTCATTGTTGTACTCCATTTAAGCAGATGACTAGTTGTATTAAATAGCTATTTTTGGCAATTGTAATTTTTTAACTTGGAATAACTTGATTTTTAAAAGTAAAAATGTTTTGCTTAGTATTAAAATTTTACTTTTGCACTTCAGTACAAGGCATAGTTTTCTTTGTAGAACTACATTGAGTGCTATCAAGCACTTGTATTGCCATTGAGTAGAATGATAGCTTTAGAAGTATTTGACTTTTTCTGTACTTTTACAATTGCAAATTTAATGACGTCTGACATCTATCCAATAATTTTGCATCTTCATTTTGATAATCATTTGTACAATTAATAAGGTCCCGTGATAAGCCCAGTGAAGTTGAACTGAAGCTGTACTAAGCTGTAACTGCCATTTTTCATGAGAAAGCTTAGCTATAAAATATAATATGACTTGCCTGAAGCCACACAGCAGCAAATCTTTAAGAAAGCCAGAGCAGGTTTGTATTTATTCTTTCTATCTTTTGTTTTAAATATAAGATATATTTCTTCTTCCAAATAAGGTAAGACATGCAGGGAGAAATTATTGTGGTTGTATACCCAGAAAGAAATAGATTATGCACTAGTGTACATTAGCATATATGTTTGCACTTGCAGGTTAAGATCAGTCATCAAAAATTTCATCTTAAATGAAAATTTTAATAAGTATGTGCATTTGAACAACTATACAGCTTTATTATCTGAACTGTGGCTTTCTCTAAAAATGCATAAATATGCATCTATTTGAAGGATTTCTAATATTGATATATTAAAATTCTTACTATCAATAAAAAAAATCTGTAGAGCAACAAATGATTTTTCCATATGCAAAAATCTTTAGAAATGTGTGGTCTGAAAATGAGACATTTCCAAATAAAATTGAGCTATGCAGAGGAAATTGAGGGAAAAGTCCTTAAGGTGACTTTTAAATGAAAATGAAATGTCTTTTAGTAAGTTTCAGAGGTACAACATTACAGACTAGTAGAATTGTATCTCATTAATTTCAAACACAGATTTTATGTGAGGCTATTTGATTATAATTTGATTATCTGACCCTGTAATTAAAGTTTATTGCCAATTTCAAAGCTTATGTGTAAAATGAACTGGTTTTCTTCAAAGCAATATACAATCCATTGGACTCATTGACTTCTAGTTTTGCATTTAAATCGAAAAGTCTGTTATAACATGACAAACAGGTTCAGTTTTTGATCATTAATCCTGCTAAGCAATATTCATAAATTCAATTTTGAATCAGTTGGAATACTTTTCTTTTATTAGTTTCTGTGTTATTAAATGAGATTGTCTCTGACTAATATATTTCTGGACTCAAACTGTAGCTCCAAGCTGTTATTCAAATCAAATAACATGCCCCTTACTTGTGCCTAGCACTAATAAATGCCAACTTGTGATACATTTGCTGGAGACTGTCACGAATATTAAAGGAGGCAATAATGCCACTAATGTCTCATAAGTAAGCTTATTTTTCTAAAGGGCTGAAATCAGTCATCCTACTGAGGGGGGCAAAGGGGGAAGAGCCTTTAAGAAGTAAAGCCTAAAGCATTATTTTACTCAGCTAAACATTATTATTGAGGAGGTAAATGACCAAGAAATTACCACTGCAGAGGATGAAAAATACAACATGTAACTTCTGGTGCCACCCTGAGCAACAGAAATGCATCCACTGGCTAAGCATATGCTGGGCTTAGTAGACTTGCATGTTCATTGGTTTGGAGGCATGTTTTCCTCCTTCTGAGGGTTTGAATTAAAAAGGAAGAAAAAAATTCCAACACTCTTTTACTGTTATTGTCAGCCACCTACTTCAGTTCTTTTGAGATATTACTGGCACTAGTTAAGGGGGTTTGGTACAGAACACAAGTTTAATATGTTGACATGGAATTATCTAAACAGGATTTATTTGTCTAAGTTGTCATCCCACAAGCTGGGCAATTTGTGAAGGAGTTTATTGGGCAGAGCAGGGAGTATGACTGTGGCTGGGAGATGTAGCATGGATCCTACCTGTGTCCCAAATGGATACAAGGCAATGCTGAGATTCAGACACAATCATTTTGATTTCTCCCTATATCAGAATGCTCCCCCCCACTTTTCTTTTTTTTTCTTCTGGGGGTAGAATATTGGTAATGAATGTCCATTCATTACCAATGACCCTGTGTGCTTTTTAATGAAACTTTGAGCCACATATTTGTCCCTTTGTTCTCCAGTTTTTTCCCAAATATTTACAGTTTAATTAAAAAAGAGGCTGTTGTAGTTTCTATTTTGTGAAGCCAAGTTCTTAGCTTTCCTACTTTATCAAAAGTTCTGTGTAATAACCTTGTATTTTCTTTTCAAAAATAATAATATAGAAAACTGTCACACCTATTAAAGTTCAATAGTGTCAGTATCACAGAATGTACCAAAATAAATGATAGGTTCTAGGAGAGTGACTAATGTATTTGGTTATGGTCGAGGGGGTTTTCTTTAAATGACAATTCTTGCATTAAAGGTATTTATTTTAATTGGATGGATGAAGCACTGAGAGACAATCTGATGGTTTGCTTCATGATTGCCTTTAGCTGTACAAACTGTTCTGTGTTGTGCAGGATGTATTGCAGTTGGATTTGATTTACAGGTGGTCTGTGAGCTGTGTCAGCTGTTTCAGCGTGGCTCTCCTCAGAGCTGCTGGGATTTGCAGGCAGGGGCTGTTCTGCCTGCACCGTGCTGCCTTTCCTGGGGCAGGGGTCCTGGCACAGCTCACAGCTCACACTGCAGGAGAGGACCACAGGTACCCAGAAGGCGACATCACTTTACTCCCTGAGCTAACGGGGAACCCCTGACCCAGCACTTCCCTTTTTTTCCAGTTTTTCATGGAAAACAGAAACTCATCATGACTTTACCATCATTAGAGATATTGCTGAACTCTCTGGAGCTGAGGCTGAGCTAGCAGAACAGATGAACACTACCTTGCCTAAAGTGTAATTTAACTTGTTTTTGTTTAGTGTTTTTATTTTAAATCTAAATTGGTGCCTACTTTAACAAATGCCGTGATCCTCCCCACAGAGGGATTCATGTCAGTGCCTCCTCTGTCTAATATCTCATTTCTCAAGTGCAGTGGAAGATTTGGTTTGAATGCTTCTATGTTATTTTTTCAATGGCAATTTTTTTGTTATTATAGATATTATTCTTAGTTCTCACAATGAATACAGCAAGGTGACAGACTGTCATAATAATCCAGATTATGACTGATAGCATATGATCCTAAGCTTGGATAGTATGATGCATAAATGACTTGAAATGTATTTATATTTCCATCTTCTTGTGACCAAGATTAGTCCACAAACTGTGAGTGAGAATAGGCTCAGCCTGCATGGTAAGAAAGGTCATTCAAAAATGACTTTGCTATCTAATTATCTTATCTAGAGAATAGCAGCCAAGTTCTCCCATCTCCTGTTGGAACCCTGTCATATGCTGCCCTGCTTTGATATTACCAGAGAAGCTGAATCCAGGCCAGGATTCAGTGGCCAGGTCCAGTTCAACATGTAGCTTTCTCTAACAATAATTTAGTACCTCTTTTCTGACTACACTTTCTTTCAGACCTTTTTATTAAAATTGTTTTGAATGCAACCTAGCACAGTGAATTTTATTAACAGCAATGGCAAAGGCCAGTAATAGTGCACCAATTGCTTGGGATTGCTCAAAAAACTTTGTAAGAGCTCCTGGACAATGAAAGGTTTTGCCTAATTAAAATATTAGGGGTCTGGGGCCAGATACATTGGCAAGTTGTGTTTGGCTTTTGCTGTATTTTTACTGAATTGTGGGGGGATCTGGGATTTTTATCTCTAGAGCCATGAATTAGATTAAAAAAAATGTATAGCAAATAACATTTTGGTTTAATAACAGTAATATATTGTAAATTATAAAATACAAATTAATAACACCTTGATTGTTCACATCCTCCAGGTTTTCTGGAAGAACAGACATTTGAATTTGCACTTAGCACATTCCTACTCTTCAACATGTACATAAATGCTTCCTTAACTAATTGTGGGAATACTAAGTGTGAAAAATAACAGAAATGTTAGTGTTTTCTTAAGGTGTCTACTCATCATTACTTCTTGAGAAAAACAATTCAATTTCTCAGAAAAAAAATTAATCATCTGAAGATGTGTTTGACATTTAATAAAAAGTTAGGCTTGGCATGACTATTTAAACATTGCATAGGTTGCATTCTGGTTTGAAGTATTATTTTAGGGAAATATGATAGTTGTGATTATAACATCTGGTTATCTGTCTCAAAGGATCCCTGAAAATAATTAAAAGGTAATACTTTTAGGAAATAAATGACAAATGTTTTTCTTATTAATATTTCAGCTTTGTAAATATTTTTTTTCCAGCCCTAGGAAATTTTTGTTCCTGATAAATTTTGTGCTAAAATAGTAACATAAATGAGATTGTAATGATGCAAAGTCCAGTCAGTGAACGCTACTGGCTGCACACTTCAAGGACTTGAGTATCTCAGATTATGGGCTAAATTTTGTCTTCTGTTTGTTTGATTGAATTTTTTTTTCCTTTTCTTTCCATCCAGGATGGTCAACCTTCCCACACCTGAGAATAAATTCTGGCTCCACAAAAGCAAGGAATGAAGACTGTATCCCCAAAGGACTACCTGACATTTGCATACCCTAAAAGCAGGTGTGCAAAGTGAGTCAGCTTTTTAAACAGCCCAGGAGTCATGACGGGATTAATGTCTGGTTTGGCTTAATTGACCCGCTTGCCTATCCATACTTATTTTGCATAGAATATACAGACATAGGATTTTTTGAAATAAAATTAAATTGTTTTCTCACAATGATTAGATTTGTGTTGCCTTCTGCAAAATGTTCAGCTTTCCACTATAATCACAGATATTCTCCTTTTTTATCATAATATTTTTACAAAGAGGTAAGGCTTGTGTAGAACTCATTCATCCTCTCGGTTCTGTTTTTCTGTCTGTAAAAACTTTAGGAACTTTCCCTTTCTAAATTTTCAGAAAAATGAGGGTGTTGTGTGTGTTTTACTTAAATCTTCAGTGGAAGATGTGCACGCCCAGCATTTCACTGACAATCTTAAAGATGCCTGAAGGCTAAGGAGGGCCATGTGCAGATCCAGTCATACGCTAAAAGTGGAAGGAACAAACAGGGTTCTATCAGAGATGTGATGGAAATGAAAAATATAAACACCAAAACCTTCAATTTTATACTAACTTGGTTTTTTGCAATGATTGGCAAAACCTTGAAACTCTTTTGTACTCCAGCTTAATATCTCTTCACACTGTGGGGGTAACAGGAGAATGTAAATTTCCATGCTTTAATATTTTACAATAACATTAAGTATTTTTTTGGCATGCAATTAGCAGCATCCCAGTAAAATGAACAAAAATTAACACTGTGTTCTCAAATCCACTCTCTGTAGTCTCAGCAAAACTCATTGTGTCAGTTAACTTTGAATACATGATTAATGTTTTTTTTTCTAATGGTTTTAGGTTCTAAATTGTCTCTTAAAAGATCTTTTTCTCTTTAAAGAAATTTTGCACTTTGCAACCTAACATGCACTATTTTGGAAGTGACAGCAGTGATATGACTATAATTTCTACCAGGAGGCTCACAGGTAATTTAGGATAAATCCTGTAATTGTTTTATGTAGTTAATATTTAGTTTAAATATCAAATACTTACTTCATATTTAAAACCTAGACTCTAAAAATTAATTTCATTATAAAATCTCAGACTTCATTCTATAGGAAAAGTTTGGTTTTAGGATGAAATGGTTTAGACTTCAACAAACTTATTTAGATACTTGTTTAACTGCTTTGTGATAACAAAACTGCATATCAGGGATTAGGTTTTGAAGATTATCCAAATGTGGTAACCAAAGTATTTACTTTCATATTTAAAGATGAGAGTGCATCTAACTGGTTACTAATTTGAAGACTGTCAGGCATTCTGAAATTGCTAGGTTGTAATAGTTGTTAAGCATATTTATCAAAAAGAAAAAAAAAAGTCAAAAATTATATTCAAAGTATTAAATCAGCCCAAACCCAAAAATAACAATGTTAAAGCATAAGAAATTCTTATGACAGTTTTCTCCTGGTGTGTAGATAGTATTGTCTATCCTTTTTTGCATTTTACTTCAAACTAGTGAAAATCCCTCAACTGTATGAAATTTGCTTCTAATTTTCATATGAACAAAAAATTACTAAATTATTTCCAATAACTGGACTAGGTTGGCAACTTGTTTTACTGAATACTTTAGCTCCTTTTTGTAGAAATAAGGTCATCTGATGCTTTAAAGCAATAAATTATAGCATTTTTTTAAGTAACTTTTTTATTATAACATATGGATTATACCACAAATTATAACAAATACTACAGCAAATGGATTTGGTACTTAATATTTTATTCTACTCTTTTTTTTATTATTATTTTGCTCAGTTCATACCCCTTGGAAGCTCACTAGAGTTAGAGGGCTCACATCCTGGAAAATGTAAGTAAGTATAGAGACTTTTAAGTCTTTTTTTTTTAATCAGGCTTCAGTTATTCTGAGCATGTCAGCTCTTGAATGCTGAAGTTACTTTACAGTTAAAGCACAGCAAGAATCAGCTTAGGCTATGCAGAACCTTGGAAAGCTGATCTCTTTGAAATATGTCCAAATAGATATTCAAATCACTATTACAACATAAATCAAAAATGCTTTCCACATTTTACAGTGTACTTCATATGACAAGAACATTTCCTCTCAGTTATGATTCTTTTTCAGAGTGGAAATCTTCAACTTGATGGTACTTGATGGCAAAAGAATGTTCACTGAAGTGTGGCATAACGCTATGGCGTGTTCACATTCAAATTTTAAGTAATAAAAAATATGAGGGAGTGGAGGAAAGAGATCTATTTATCAGATGATTTATCCACTAAAACAATTTAAACTTGTAAGCCCAAATTTATTCATGATGTTAGTGCCATTGCAGCACAGGAGATTTTATCCCTGCAGCTTTTCTTCCGTGGGTGTTGCTGTCAAAGCTTCCCAGTCGCCTTGGTTAATTCATTCCGTGTGCCAAAAGTAATTATCCCAAGTTCCACGCTGCCTGCAATGATGTGAAACTTTGGACTGTGTGCAGCTATGATGTCATGAGGCAGTCATTAATGTGAGTGAGAGTGGCTCACCTGGAGGCCTGAAGGCCCATGCCAATGAATCACATTGCCATATGAAAGATATTGATTTAATCATTCTGATTGCAGGCCTGTCAGAAATGTAATTGTCCACTGGAAGTACAAATGTGTAAATGGACATCCCAGCAAAAGGCAGCAATCTTTCTAAGTAACATTTTACATTTATTCAGATCATTCCACTTGTTTTCCTCCTCCTCGTGCCCCCAGCCCGAGTCTGTTATTGATATAAAGGTTGAAGCTCAGGCAGCTTAACTGTTATGTGGAATGACCTTTACTTTTAATATTAATATATTATCGTAAAGTCTATGAGACTCATAAATGCAATTTTAGAATTCATATGAAATGCCATGTGCTGAACCTATTGCAACTTTTCCTCTAGTCCTGTGGCAGGTTGCAAACTATGCGAATTAATATGCATCATATTCTTTCCCCTTTATTTACTTAGAGAGGTTTGCAGAGCAACTTTATCAAGAGTAACATTATCAAGAGCTTTCCTGCAAGCTTCTTTATCATATTCACATCCGTGTCTGCTCGACACTTGTCACTGTCAATCAAATCGCAATAATACGCAGATGATTTGCTCATTTGGTTTAATAAAATCTCTCTGCTTATTTGCACTGCAGTCATTATGCCACATAATTGCTCCGCCGCCGAGGTGAAAGGCAGCCAGTTGCCTGGGGGATAAGAAGAGACTATTGCTATATGAAGGATTTGTTTCTTTGCCTCTGTCTCTCCCTAGTCACTCATATCCCTAAAATTAATATTGTATTTGAATCCAGTCCTGCTATTCTTATGCAGGCTAACATTGTTATTACTTATTATTTGGATGTGAAGTCATTTATTTTTAGTTTTGATGTCCAGGCTGTCAAGCTAAATTTCATTGTGTACTGCCACATACGATTTTTAACTGCCATTTAAACTTGATTCAAAATCCAAATTATGAAGAGAACACGTTCAAAGGAATGGTCTGACAGGAAGTATAGCTACAATTTTTATTTCCCAGGAAATCAAAGTATAGATCTTGTTATTGTTCTGTGGTGGAGATATGTGCGGCTTTCATACCTCATAATCTTTTTTGTATTGGCTGGACACTGTGATTCAGAAACAGAAAAAGGGGGGCTATTTATGCATATGAGCAGCCCTTAGGGTGCAAAACAAAGGCATTCACTTCCAGAAATGATAGAGCACAGAACTAGCTCAACTGACTGTTGTAAATTCCTGAATGATTTGTACTCCATTTTCCAGTAGATTCTACTATGACGGATGGTGGAAGCAAAAATGAGGAATCTATCCCTGTAACACAAACCTTGCTCCTTCGCTGCACAGTTAATAAATCAGTCACTGCCATGTGATAATAATTACCAGCCCATACTTTTGGGGTGATTCCACCTCAGTGGCATACTCGTTAGGAGCCTGAAATACTTCATATTTAAATGTATTCCAAAAAAGTGCCTAGTGTTTCTTTTAAAGAAAATTAAAAACTAGGCTAAAATTCCATATGAGAGACTATGTCTATGTTCAGCTTTCCTATTTTTATTCAAAGTCCTGCATTGAGCTTAACTGGGATTCTGTTTGCAGGCCAGAGGAAGTGCTAATGCTTTAAAGCTGTTCAACTTAGCATACATTTTTATTTGTATAAAGTCAATCTAATAGTATTCAGATATAGAAAGAGAGAGTGATGAGCTGTAATATTACATAGGGATAGTTAATGGGGAGCCCATTAATTCACAGAAGTCCCAAAAAGGGGTAATAAGTCACCTCCAGCCTTTCTGGTAGGCCATTGCAGTTCATCCAGTCAATGTGATACTGAACCCAACAGCAAGATTAAAAAAAGTATTATACTGTGAGATTTTCAAGCTCACTTTATAGAAAGCAAGAGATTCAGTAGCTGAAGTGGTTAATCACTCTCACTATTAAAATATTTACTGAATGTCTTATCCAAAATTAGTTCTTGTTATGGTTTTCCACACTAAATGAAAGAGATTTATCTGCCAGAATTTTTGCTCTTTTTTTATTGTCATCTGAATGAGTTCTTTCTCAGTAGTATTTAGCAAAATCATAGATCCCTTAACATAACCCTGGTCTCTCCTCCACCTTTCTATGTGTACAGTGCTCCTTGCTTTTCTCACAGGTAAGTAATGACATCAGTTATCTAAGCAATGTTTTGTATAAAGTGAACCTCTCTTCCAGGGGACAAGTAGGCATAGCTTTTGTAAGGAACAGGTAATACTGGGATTTTTTAGTTCTGTTTTGGTTGGGTTTTTTAATTATAAGAAAGGACTGAATTTATTTTTTTTTTCATTTAGTATTTAGTTTGTATTTTTTGAACATATCTGTGAAGCAGTTGTGATCATCCTTTAGCTACATATCTTGATTATTATTTACCACTTTGAATGGATTAAACATTTCTATTATCCAAGTATGCTCTTAAGTTATTTCTTAGGGGAAAAAATGTATTAGGTCTGTCAGCAACCCATGATATAAAACATTCTAGATGTGACAGTGTGTGCAGTGGAGTTCAGCTGGGCTGTGTGTTCTGACCCCAGCCATTCCATGTGGGCTGTGGATATCAGAAGCACACTCCAGCTAGGTGGCACAACATAGCTTGCCTAGGCTGCTTTTGCTTCATGAATCATCTTGCATGCTCCCCCTGTGCATTCTACAAACAGTACAGATTTATTCTAACTCAGGACTCTGATTATCCTTCCTGAGTAACAAAACGTTCAGCAAAGGAAACCGGTAAAAGCACTACTTTTCCTTCGGGTAGTTAAACACCCATAGCTGGAGACTGAGTGAGCAGGAAAAGGAGATGTGAGTTTTTTCCTTTGAGACAACTAATTCAGCAGTCTGCATAGCTGTTACAGTTTACACAATATTTTTTTCTGTAGAAAACAATTTCCCATCCTGTCCTCTTCCATAATTTACTTTTGCTTTCATACTGTGTTCTGCCCCAAATAGCTGTTCACTGCAGACCTGCTGCTGCTGCTGCTTGTACACAGTAGCCTGTACAGACAGGTCTTGAAGCTTGAGGTCTTGTGAAGGAGATCAAGTAATGAACAGGTTGATCTGAAAGCTTCTAGCATCTCTCCATCTTTGGAGATATTGAAACCACAGTTGGATGTGGTCCTGAGCGGTCTGCTTCAAGTGGTCCTGCTACTGAGGAGGGGGATTGGATCAGACAATCTCCAGAGGATGATTCCAAACTCATCCTTTCTGTAATTCAAGGATGCAGAAGTGCCATATGACTTGGAAAAGCTTTTTATGTTAAGGGTATAAACATATAAAATTATCTATTGTCATTATTTGGTAGGAAATATCTTAAATAATAAATATCTTAATTTTAAATATGTTTATTTTGTCACTGTGGCTGATTTGGCTCTATAAATGCAATGAGTGTTAGGAAGAAATGTTGACTATTGTGTGGGTGATGGTTTTCTCACATGGAAGTACAGCTGCTCTGTTTCTATTGTCTGGATGTTGGCTCGTGTTCTCCTTTCTGTACACAGCCCACTGCATGTTCCTTTCCAAGAGCATCCTTATGCAATTTACAGCAGGAAGTAGCAGCAGTTTTAAAACAAAAATGTTGGCTGTATTTTTTGTAGAGATATCTTAGTTTCAGACAAGCTAGCATATTGAATTATGTCTTGCACTAGGAAAAATAATATTAGTTTATCTAAGAATACAGGGCTTGGCTAGGTGTGCAGCTGCCATAATTACTTAAGAAAGATGTGTTTGAATTACCACTCGGTTCATTTATATACACAGACTTGTGTATACACAGACATACACACTAAGGCTGTCATAAATTAAAGAGAATGGGGAGTTTCTGTCCAGCTCAAACACTCAAACCACTTGTCTGTGTTCAAAACTTTGGAGAGCAGGATTTCAGAAGGACTGAAAATAATAAATTAATTTATAATTACACAGTATATAATTAAATAATGAAAATTAATTAAATTGTGACAGTAGTTCTTTGCTTGACTATTGAATAAGTTACTTGACATTTTTCAGCAATATTCTTGGCTTTAAATTTGAACCAATATATAAAATAACACAGAAAATACTACACTAGGGAACATTCTATCCAGGATTTTCATAAAAGAGAGAAATCTAATATTATACCTTAGTATTAATTAACATTAGATTTACTATCTGAAAGAAGGTATTTAAAATGTTGCAGAACGAGACGTTTATCTTTTTATAGTCTCTTTCTCATAATCTTCATTTTCCAAAGGCATTAAGGGACCTTATGTTTGCAAAGTGGAAATTATTAAGGATAATTAAGATGAAAGTTTTATTTGACAGAAGAATTCTCATGATG